CTAATGAGAGCTTTAGAAATGAAGTGGGAGCTCCATACTCTGTGGCACCCTCCTTCTTCAGGGAAAGTAGAATGAATCAATCAGATGCTGAAGAAGCACTTGTCAAAATTGGTTTCAGAGACCAAATTACCATGGACAAAGTGTTTGCCTGTAGCCCTTGTCAGAATATGAACCACTCACAGAAAAGGCTTAGGAGTATCACCACACGAAGTGCTGCTTGGGTGGCCGTACTTGGGAATGGTGAGATGCCCGCTCCTGAAACCAAGGGTAAGTTTCTCCAGAACTGTGTACTCAGGTTGTCTGCTGCTCTGTTACCCCTTAAGGAATGTGGACTGTTGGCTCAAACTCCACCTCTGGAATTTCCAGTGCACTCATCCCGTGTTGGAGGCTGGTCCTAATATGCACCTGGAAGGAATAAAGGCTTCAGCCCGAGTGGGATGGAATGGATCATTTCAGGTACTGCAGTGGGTGTCGTCTACCTTGACTTCAGCAATGTTTTGTTACAGTCTCCTGTGACATCCTGGTAATGAAGCTGAGAAAGTGTGGGATAGATGAGTGGATGATGAGGTGGGCTGAGAACTGGTTTACTGGCTGAGCTCAGTGGTGGTGATGGGCAGCACAGAGTGCGGCTGGAGAGCTGTGAGCGGCGGTGCTCCCGGGGGTTGGTGCTGGGTCGGGTTGTGAAGGGGAGATTGTGTTTGTGCTGTAGAAGCTTTGAGTATTTTCTGTATGTAGTACTGGCTTTACTGAACTTACAGCCCTCTTGTGAAAGAGCCGTTTGCCTTCCACTAAGAAAGGTGCTGAGCAGAGTTAAAAAGTTAAAGATTGGGGTGTTCTGATTGGGGTGGAATTGAGGTGGGAAAGAAAGACCATATAAAGGGAAATTGCATGTACCCGCTCTCTGTTTCACGCTTTCCACGAGGTTCGTGAATGCAGAATGAAGCTGTACTTGCTAAACGTTGTGCTGTTTTTTTGCTGTTGCCGAAGTGGGGCAGTGACCAGGGAGTATTACATCGGGATTATAGAGACAGCATGGGACTATGCTCCTGGTAGTACTGATATCATATCTGGACAACGTTTTGCAGAAGAAGAGTAAGTAATGTAGTTCGTACTGATGGAGTTTTATTTAATAGCATTGTCTGCTTTAGATGCTAGGACCAGGACCTGGTGAAGTCGGTGAAATGAATATTGCTAGTGTCAGTGAACCTGGTGGCTGACATATAAGGGAGTATTTACTTTTTCCTGACTTGCTTAAGAACTAAATTGCGACTCTCTGCTGATGGAAAATGTTGTACAATGTAATGTTCTTTTTGTGACTTTATCGTAATGAAACGTTTATTAACTAGAGGTAGGGAAATGATCATGTGAATGCCTACTGTTATTTTGAATTAGCCAAGTGGCAGTGATGAAGGGAAGGCTTCTGCTTTTACATTTTTAAACTCAGAAGTTTAACATGTTTTTTCTGTTCTCATTTTTCTGTTGGGCACAATTTTCCTTTATTTCCTTTCAATTTAGAAATGTTTGTTGTTGGCAGTGGTCTCTTTCTTGTGGAGATGCAGCAGCTGGAATGTTTCATGCAAGAAAGGCTTTGTGCAGTTTGAGAAATAGAGGATAATTGTGTTGAGGAGAAAGGTGATACCCTGAAGACATAAATAATAAATAAAGAAAACTCAGATATCAGAGGCACCAAAGAAAGTATTGGACAGGAAAAAAAAATAGTCATCCTCTCAATTTTTTCAGTGCTTTTAAAATGAAGTAGAATTATACTAAATGAAGAGTGAAGAAGTATATCACTAGTAAGAAGAGTCTTCTCCTTGCTGACTGTGAAGTCAACGTAACGTGATACTTGTTGGTTTTAACTGGCTTTGGAAGATTATGCAGAACTTGAAGCACGTACAAAAATGTTGAGCAGGAAGACCTGTTGTTTGACTTATAAGCAGCAGAAAATTGTGTCAAGTATCCTTATCTTCAGTCTACAAAATAGATAGAAAAAATTCATAGTTGGTGTGTAGCATTTAGTCTCTATCTGAGTGCCTGTACTCTTCAGAAATGTGAATGTATTTGCTTCTAAAGGCAGATTGTGCACAGTGCTACAGAGGCTTGGCTTTTGTTTGAGATCTGCTAATTAGCACTGTTCAAGTATAAAGTGAATATCTGATATTGTGTATTTTCTTTACAGGCAAGCTGAAGTCTTCCTTAAAAGAGGACCGCAAAGGATAGGAAGCATTTATAAGAAGGCTGTCTACACTCAGTACACTGATGTTTTATATGATGTGATAGTTGAGAAACCTTCCTGGCTGGGTTTTTTAGGCCCTATCATTAAAGGAGAAGTTGGTGATTCCATTGTTGTTCACTTGAAAAACTTTGCTTCCAGAAACTACACACTGCATCCACATGGTGTAAAATATACAAAGGAAAACGAAGGTAAGCTTGAGTCCATTTTGTGTCAGAATTTAACAAAAGCTTTGTCATCAAAGATACAACTGCCTAAGCGAATTATCTTCTGAAACAAGACACACTCAGTTTAAAATAGGAGCTGATTAAGAACTTCTGGTATTTGTTCAAGAGTGAAATACTGAGCCAAAAGTGGGGTTCGTGTAGAAGGCAATTTTAGATCAACGTTCCATCTGAAATGAGGGTAATGTAGGGATGTCTGAAGGAAAAAAAAAAACGATGCTGTTGTAAAGAAAATACTGTTTGTATAAGTTATAACTCTTAACGGTATTAAGAATTCTGAATTATACACAAGATATAAGATACACAAGTTCCTTAAAACAGGCAAATGCCTTCAGCTTAGATAAATTAGCCATCACGCTTTCAGATGTACTGTAACCATGCTACTGGTATTAGTGAAGACAGTAGTTGTTGGCAATAGGGGAGACTTTCAAGCTGTGAAACACTGCTGCAGTTTCACTGAAATTAGTGGAGTCCTTGCATATTGACAGGTAGAAGAGTCGTGTTCTCTTCTGGACAATCTATGGAGTGTTTTTGTAGTATCTTTTATGCATACAGCAACCCATGAATGTGCCATCTGTCAGAAAGAGCAGCGTGTCCCTCCTGAGGAAATACTGTCATTCCAGTTTCCTCCTTGAAAACTACTGAATGTAGTATGATGACATCTAAACCTGAGTCTGTAGCCTGACAATTCACTCTGCCAGATGCACCTCACTGGGTAGTTTTCCATACTATTATCTGCAAGAAAGACTGCACTGGAATATAGCCACTGAAAGTTTTATTAAGATGCCTTAAAAACTGTGTGAATTATTGAGTAGATACTGTCAAAAGTAGTCTTTGAAAATTTTTCAGTGGGGAAAAAA